TCGATAGATATAACCATAATTATTGAATTTTTCGTGGCTGAATATGTAGTACGTCAATATGGACGATCTGTGGTTTCAACAAGACTGCTCTACATGGCGTACAGCCAACGAAATAATGAATTTGGTAAGCAAGACTGTTTTTTGTGGGGTTATGTGAAGTCGCCTGTTTGACGGTTTTCAGGAGAGTTTCCGCAGCGTTATTGCCTAGATACGGGCCCGATTGCAACAAAAAGCGATCCGAAGTTGGTTTTCTCGGCTGGCCAGCCGCGGTGGAAACTTGCTCGAAATTTTGTGATCTTAGTTTCCAATCGACCGGCCCAAAACGTGAAATTATCTGCTCACCGAAGTGTTCTCTCAATAAATCCATTGACTGATACGTTGTGTGGAAAGTAGCGCCGTCTTGTCGAAACCAAATATCGCCAACATCACAAACTTTAATCTCAAGCATAATAAGTTATGCTCTCACCGGCATTATTTTTGAAGAAATATGGACCGATGATTCCAGCGGCCCACAAATCACACCAAACCGTTGTTTGTCGTAAATGAAATGAATCTCCTCAGGTTGCTCTTCATCGCATATGTGGTAATTTTGCCTTTTTATATACCCATTGAGCCAAAAATAAGCCTCATTGCTGAACAAAATTTGGTTCAAAATCGTCGGATCTTCTTGGAATTGTTTAAGTGCCCATAGAGCGAAGCGATGTCGTTTAGGAAGGTCGAGTTGCTTCAGTTCTTATCAAAATAGACGCTTTCAATTTAAGATCTCGACATAAAATGCGCCAAATCGGTCCATATGTCAGTTCGAGTTGTTGCGAACAGCGCCGAATCGACTCGCCGATCCAAAGAATCCAAAATGCCAAAACAAAACTGAACGAAAATAACATAACAGCTTGACACGACTCACACGTGCTCTGTCAAAAAAGGCCTTAAATTAAAAAAATGCTTTTTACTTAAATTTAGAAGTAACTTTGAAATATTGACATATATTTATTTTTCCTTGTGGCCACAGTTAAATCAGTGATCGAATTCTTCCCTTATTTTATTTTAATTGATTTATTTTCTACCTTTTTTACAGTGAATATTTGAACTAAAATTTTAAAAACCACAAAGCGTTAATCAATATTTTGCAATTAAAGATAACCAAAAAATATAAAAAAAATTAGTTTACGCTTCTTCCACAACACAAAAATATTTACGATATCTGCATATATTTTCTATTGTTTGTATGTATGTATGTAATTAATTTAGTATTGTTACCAAATTGTATATCCAAAAAGAAGACACAACTACTCATTAATCAGCATGTTTGAAAGGGAATGACAGTTTAACTGAGCGCAATCAAATATAAATTTATACTACATGCATCAAGCAATAAATATGAAATTAATCAAGAATGCTTTCAAATGCCCATACCTACACACAGACGCTTGCAATTCCACACAAGCAACGTTGAAGCAGCTACCAGTTACGAGCTATTGAAGTGGCGATGCTCACACATATATTTCCACTCTCCTTTTGCTAATATTATATAACTACGCCTTAAACAATTTAATTGCGTATAAAAAATAACTGTAACTGTATATACAGTATACAGTGCATAAACAAAAGGCTTAACAAACACAATACATAATACTTTATATACCATATACCTAATATGCTTTATTTTTATATATATATTTTTGTATTATCTAGTACGTGTGATTTAAACAAGCAAAAACAATAAAATTGTAAAACTAATATTAAAAGA